CAAGAGGTTGAAAGGCCCTGACATTGATTAAAGTTGTTTTGACTATATCCCACACCAAGAGTGTATAAATATAGGGGGATTGTACAATGTTTTGTAACAGAGAAAGACACAGCCTTTGTTACTCATTGAAAGGGGAAAAACTCTCTGCAGGGAGTGGGAACAAATCACGTAATAAGATATGACTTATTTAGAAATGCCGTATGCTCTGCTATGCCATGCTTTTATAATATGTGAAAATATCTAACCTAATAGATTTTAAGCAACTTTTTAAAGTGACTTGTATGAGAGTTTTTTGTGTTTTTTTTACATTATGAATATATTTTGAGCATTGTGTCTTTTGAGTATGAAGTTTAAATTCTAAACTATAGTATAGAAGAACTAACAGGCAGCTGGCACAGATGATTATTCACCTGAGAAGTACAATGTTTTTTCTGAGGTTCTCTCCGAGGTAGCTCTCAAGCTGGACCACAGGCTGCTGGTTTCAACCACCATAGTCCTGAGAGCCCTCCAAACTGGATGGTAGAAGCCTACCATGTCTTCTTGTCCTTTGACTGATCAATGAAGTTGAGAGTACAGCAAAAGAAACATGGTGTTGCGCTCAGCATGTTTGTTTCCCCAGAGGGCCTCCAGGGTGCATCTGGAGCCAGAAGCACTCTAGGAAACTCAATATGCTGAGAGCAATGGCAGCCTCATTCAGAAAAGGGTGTGCTGCTGCCTGGAAAGGAGCAGGCCATGAGCTGGGAGAAATGACTGTGAAAGGGGAGAAGAACAACAAGTGAGCCTGTGCTGTGAACATACAGATGAGACTCCTCACCCGACAGCACCGAGCTTTGATTCCTAGGAGGATGGTGGTGCCTTGGCATTTACAATATACAACTATGTAGTGTGGATATACTGTTACAGCTGTGGAAGACCACAATAAGGGAGGTTGGCTTCTGGCACCCCCAGCTGGCTGGCTGTCCTTGGCCCCTGCCTCTCTGGAGGCCCTGTTAGAGCTAGCAACCACTGAGCCTCAGGCACGTGGAGGAGCAGGACAGGGAGGAGAAGGCAGCAGATAAAAACCCACCTGTGAGAGGAGGAAAGGGTGGGCCTGACTGGGTAGCTGTGGGGAATACAGGAGGCAAAGGTGGAGGTAGAGAGAGTGGAAGGCTATTGGAGGGAAGGAAGGAACACCAGACATGGATAAGTACACCAGAGCCAATAACCCAGAGGCCACAGAGGAGTCTGAGGTTGAAGGGACCTGGGGTGATGCTCTTTGGGAACCAGAGCTGGTCCTGAAGAGGTGGTAGATAATGCCTATATCAAGGGCTCCTGGTTGGGCATTCTTCTGCAAGTTCAGTGACTCTAAGGAAGGTGTCGTGACACTGGTGTTTTCAACTGATACCTCACAAATCACTCCCGTGCCCCATTGCCCAAGACCCTGACAACTGGGCCCCACCCCAAGTGAGAGGAGGCACTGGAAGTTCAAGAACCAAAAAGAGCATCAGAATTGCCTCCAGCTGGAGTTGGGTGTCTCTCCCCCCCACCAGCTGTGACAATAGGTCTGACAATATAGGCCCACCTTGTGGATGTTGGCTGGCTAGGAGAAGTGTTCAAGCCATGCCAGTAATGAACTTATCTAGTGCTGTGAACTCAGCTCCTCAACAAATGTAAGGTTGGGAGGAGGCTGTTGTCTCTCCTGTCTTTTCTGCAGCCCCTTCCCTGGATTCAAGAAAAGCCAGTTTGGACAGTTTGACAAGCACTGAATTCATGGAGACCCTGCTGAAGGAGATTTTGCCTTCAGGTCCTCCACTTGTTGGGAATGGCAGTGATCACAACGAGAAAAAAGCAGAAGGGAATGAGTAGGAAAGAGGAGAAGTACCCTTCCAGGCGGGTCAGAGATTGGAAAGTTTCTGTTTAAAGGAACAGGATATCCCTTGTGAAAATATGCACTCTCAGTATTTTGGTATTATTAAGGAAAGTTCAGGCTGATACGAGAATGACAGGAAGCCTGAAAAAATATTCAATGACCTCTTTTTGTTTCTCTTTTTTTCTTCTTCTTCCAAAGAAAGCTGCTCCTTGCTCAACAAGGTGAAGGAAGACTTTAATCTACAAATGCGAGTTGATTTCGCCTGCAAGCCAGGAGTAGATTATGGTAATTGCTCTCTAGGTTGCAGAATCCTGTAAATAATAATAATACATATAATAATACATATAATAATAATACATCTTAGACTTGCAGAGCTAAAAGGGACCCTATGGATCATAGAGTCCATCTGCTGTTAAGCAGGTACAGTGGGGAATTGAACTCCCAACCTCTGCCTAAACCACTGAGCTATTCAGCAGTTCAAGTCTCACCCTTTGTTAAAGAGGTGAGGTCTCCATGGCAAAAGACATGCACACATTTTAACTTTTGTCTCTGTTTGCTCTTAAGTGTACAAAACTAAGCTGATTCGAACAGAAGAAGAAAATGGTTTTGACAACTATTTCATGATAATTCTGGACGTTATTAAAGCAGGTGAGACTACAGACTTTTGAAGGGAACTGCATCATGGAAACCATAGAACAAACACTGCATTAATTAACAACTGATTTGAAACCACATATTAGGTCACTGATTTTCACTTTTATGTACTGCAAAAGGAGTGAGAAAGCTTTGCTCATCTGGGTGTTTGAGCTATAGCTCTTACAATGTCTTACCACTGTGAAAATATGCTGTGTTAGATGAGTTTTCTGGAAGTTAAAATCCAAAACAGCTGGAAAGTCAAGGGAGGGGCCATCCTTGTTGCATGGATCCCCGGGGAACTAACTAACTTCTTCCCCTTTGCTCCTTTTCCATAGTTTGGTGCTTTTCAAAACACCACCAGCAGATATAACCTTAGAGTTTTATCCAGTGTGTCCTTCTGTTGGCAGAAGACTCTTTTATCCAGTGGAAGTTCTAGTCCAAATCCAATTCAGCACCACCATACAGCTATACTAGATTGCCTCCCCTCTTGCCCATGCCCCAGCACTAACTCACTGTTGCTGCTGCCCAGCAGATCTCCCACTTTGCCAAAATGCCAGCCCCTCTAAAGTACAATTGTGTTTTTTATGCAGGACTGGGATGCAACTGCATGCTGATCACTTGGGGCAGCTTCTTCTTCTTCTAAGATAGATACCCGCTGGGCAATGATGACAACAAGGAAAAGCCATCAGTGGAGAGGGGAAGAGACAGTGGTAGGACAAAGCATGGAGGAGAGTTACGGAGGAAAGAAACCATTTGGTTGCTTCCTTGCATGCAAAAAGTAGAGCCAGTCATGCAGCCAGATGTAGTACAAATGTATTGACAGTATAGGACCTACACCTCTGTCAGTCAAACAGGGAGAGACACAATTTGTACTATTATTCCCTCTCTCCAATGGCTTGCCTTAAATCTGTCCAAGAGGGCTGGGTGTCTGTTTGGAAGATCATGAGTTGGAGGAGGCAGAGAAAGGAGCAATGGGCTTAAATTTCCTTCCACTATTTGAAACTTTCTCTAGATTAAAGCATCTCCCATTGTTAGAAAGGTGCTGTGGAACAAAGCCTTCATTTTCAGCATGTAAAAGTAAACCATAAATGAAATATTTGACCAGACTAGATTAAGTTCCAATCAGATATGAAACTCCTTGAACTTGTTATTGTTTTATTAGTGAATGGTATCTCAGGTTCTCTTTTTAAAAAAATGGAAAAAAAGAGAGAAAGCAGTTTGGGGATAGAATGAGGAACTGGAAAAAGTAACTTGGAAGGTAACTACATGATCTTTTAGTTCACTGCTTGGTCCATGTCAGAGATGAGCTGGTTCACTCCTAAAGTCAATGATATTTGTCAGATTGAAGCAGGCTGCCCTCAGAATGTTCCTACCTGCACTTTTCTGGTCCCTGTCAGTGTCGTTGTTGTTGTTGTTGTTGTCTTCTTCTTCTTCTTCTTCTTCTTCTTCTTCTTCTTCTTCTTCTTCTTCTTCTTCTTCTTCTTCTTCTTCTTCTTCTTCTTCTTCTTTTTTTTTTTTGCTCTGTTCTGGTTTGTTTCCAGTGCATGTGATCACTGGAAACAAACTAAAGCAAGCCTTCCTCATTGAATTTGCCAGTATCATTAAGTGGCTTAAGAAGAGAGCTTCTTTAGAATGTTGGCAAATTAAACATTTCCTTGGCTCTGTGGGGGGGCTGAAGAAGGTGTTTGTTTGTTTTGTTTTGTTTTGTTTTGTTTTGTTTTACGGAATTAAGGCAGTGCAGATGCATTGCATCAATTTTTTAAAAAAGGCCTGGTCAAGAACCTGCCCAATTCAGCTGTAGGTAGGCAATTTACAATGAGTGAAGAGCCATCTTACATGATTAAAATGCAATATTAAAGCTAAGAACAAGGTATATGATTTTTTAAAAATACCATTCTGAGAAATAGAAAAGGACAAAAATAACCAGCTAGCTTCTTTTAAAACTTGAAGAGGAGAGAAGGCTGTGTATTTCCAGCAAATACATTATAACAAGTGTGGAAAAACAGTAACTTGATTATTTAAACTAAATAAATCTATAGGGAGTAAAGGAAAAATCACATCTATACAAGTCTCCCTTTCTGTTTTCTTCCCACTGATTTCCCCCCATATTCCTTTTACCAGCTAGTAAACAGATCAGCCCATTATAATGGTTCATTTATACAGCCCATTATATGGGCGAATGCAAACATTTCATTGTTTTGTCTGATTCCTTTAGGAAGTGACACAAATCCAGCAGACAGTCCCCGCATGTTTATCAGTCAAATGAAATGCAGAGAATCCCTCCACCTGCAGGAGAACAAGGACTATCTGATCTGGGGTCTCAGCGCTGATATGTGGCCAACAAAGAATACGTATGTATTTCATTCCATTGACTTACTGGGTGGATAGATTGCTTTTCCTTGAAGAAGTTTACTTCTACCATGTTTTGGGGAAGACCTTAACCCTGAACCTTTCAAATGAAATATGCAGTCCTTTAAAATGTACATTTTTTTCTATAGCTCAGGGGAAATCTCTGTCCAGCCAGCAGATAAAACAGTAGATAAAAAGGCTTTCACTGTGTGGAGAAAGTGAAATAGGACACTTGGGAAGCAGGCATGGCCACAAAGACAACCAGAGGATTGCTGACATATGAAATCTACTAGGTGCTTCCACAACATCTGTGTAATCCGTTTGCCCGTACAACAAAGATACAAATCTCCCTCCTCTCTCTTTTCCAGTGTCAACTATTTGATCAGCAAGGATACCTGGATTGAGAGATGGCCAGATGATGATGAATGCCAAGAGGAAGAATTCGAGAACTTGTGTAATGACCTCATCCAGTTTTCCAATATAATGACTGTTTTGGGCTGCCAGACCTGATGCTGGAAGCATAATCGGCAATGAGTTACATCACGTGGGTTTTTAATCTATTGCTGGGAAGTTATCTTTTTTTCCCTAAAGTCCTAGCTTCCTGTATCTTTTGATCACCTCTTTAATTCTTCAGATTGTTTGGAATAAAGAACTGATTTCTTACTGGGCTCCTGAGTTAATTATTAAGGTTACATTTTAGCAATGTTTTAGTATGGTGTTCGGTGGATTTTTTAAAAAACTGGTTGATTGACTGTTGTATCAACATAGAAGAACTTGAAGCTTCGTATAGAACAGGCCCCTGGCCCAAGGACTATGAAATCTAAAATTTGGAACAAGAGAAGAACACACTTCAGCTGAGTTATAAGTTTTCACCTTGCGAAATCAATTGGGTTTTCCTCTGAGTGCAAGCTGTGCAAATTTCTCATCCTACACATGAATTAGAACGCACATGTGTTACAATAGTCATATTTTCTGAAGTTTGCAATACACTGCACACATCAGAAGATGCATAGAAAATATGTGGTAAAAGTTTCCACACAGCATTTTTAAAAATTTGAAATATATGCACAAAAATACATAAATTTTGAAAAGTATGTACAAAATTGTGTTATGTTCAGTGCAAGAATGACAGGAGTGGCTTGGGTTGTGGTCACTGTTTCTTCAACTTGCATAAAATGTCTCTGTGCAAAAATGAATGTCTTCTGTATGAAGCAAAATATATACGGGCAGCGAACACAGAAGGAGTGGTTGCTTGCTCAAAAGGATGCAAAACTCTAGCTGATGCATCTGGGTCCAAAAAGTTCACACATCAAAGTTGAGGCTCTTGTAAGGTAGCTATGCATAAGACTATTCATGATTTATTTATTTTTTTATTTTTATTTTTATTTTATTTATATCCCGCCTATCTAGCCACTTAAGGCCACTCTAGGCGGCTTTCAGCAAGGATAATTACAATATAATTAAAACAATTTTAAGTAAGGAGAAAAACTTAGAAAAGTGAAATGAAAATGAGGGGAGGGGAAAAAAATAGGAAAGGTCAGGGATTGGCTGAAGGGAAGGCCTGCCGGAACATCAGTGTTTTTAATTGATTTTTTAAAGTACCAAGCGAGGGAGCCGCACGAATGTCAGGGGGAAGGTTATTCCAGAGGCGAGGAAATCATGGTTCCTTGTTCTTGCATGACAGACCTTCCTTCCAGCCCCCAGGCCCTGCCACATGTTAGAAGAAAGGGAGGAAAGATTTACAGCCCTAAGTGGGACTTTCCCTTCCTCCCCTCCAAGTCATTGTTCTGGAATAAATTTTGGGAGGGCACAGAGCTCTGGAAGAGAGGGAAAAATGATGGGTTTGTGCCACAGTAGCAGCAGTGGCAGCAGCAGCAGTAATACTACTAGTAGTAATTCAACCTGGGCATGGCTAAAACTGGGGACCATTAAGAAAGAAACCAAAAGGCTTAATTTTTCCTGCACAAGAACAAGCACTCTAAATCAATCTGACGATAGCTAAGATTCAAGGAATTAATGCTAACAGCAGATGTTGACTCTGTCAAGAAAAAGATAAAGCTGTGTCAAATCTCATCTGTGAGTGTCCAAAGAGTGCATAAACAGATTACAAAATTAGACATGATAGAGTGGCAAAATTAGTGCACTGGTCATTATGCTTATCATCCATCCATCCATCCATCCATCCATCCCTAACCTCTAAAAACCCAGGGGAACATCAGATAGAGAAGGTGTCAAAAATGGCAAAGTCAAGATCTTGTGGGATTTCTGGATCCAAACTGAGACACCTTGAACATAAAACATCAAACATAGCAGTAACAGAACAAAGAAATGTCTGGATCATCTACAGTGGGGTCTCGACTTACGAACTTAATCCGTATTGGAAGGCAGTTTGTAGGTCGAAAAGTTCGTAGGTCGAATCTGCATTTCCCATAGGAATGCATTGAAAACCATTTACTCCGTATCTGCTCTTTTCCGTCCATAGAAACTAATGGGAAGCTGCTATTCCGCCTTCT